AAAAAAAAAAAAAAAGAAAAACAGAGGCTCCTGGGTGGCTGAGTGGGTTAAGCGTCTGACTCTTGGTTTTGGCTCAGCTCACGATCTCACAGTTTGGTGGGTTCGAGCCCTGCATCAAGCTCTCTGCTGACAGTGTGGAGCCTGCTTGGGATTCTCTCTCCCTCTCTCTCTGCCCCAACCCCACTCACGCTGTCTCTGTCTCTCTCAAAATAAATAAACTTAAAGTCAAAACAATTTTGAAAATATTGCAACAAGTTGCAGGACTCTTAATATTTGGTTTTAATATTTTAAAACTGCAATAATCAAGACAATTTTGTTTGGGGAAAAGGGTAAACATATAGGTCAATGGACCAGAATACAGATTACAGAAATAAACCCACACATACGTGGTCAATTGATTTTTGACAAAGATGTAAAGATAATTCAGTCGGTAAAGGGGTAATCTTTTTGAAGGTGCTGGAACAATTTGGTAGCTGTGTTCCAAAAAATTAAACTCCATCCACAACTCAAATTCTGTACAAAAATTAACTCAAAATTTGGGATGCCTGGCTGGCTCAGTAGGTGGAGTGTGTGATTCTTGGTCTCAGGGTCATGATTTTAAGCCCCAGGTTGGGTGCGGAGATTACTTAAAAAAATTAAGTCAAGATGGATCATAGACCTATGGTAAAACCTAAAACTATAGAAGTTTTAGAAGAAAACCGGAGAAAATCTTTGCGACTGTGAGTTAAGCAAAAATTTCTTAGGTATGACACCAAAAGCACAATCCCTAAAAGAAAAAAAAATGACAAATTAGACTTCAGAAAAGATATGGATTTGTGTTCTTGGAAAGGCACTGTTAAAGGAATGAAGAGGAGGAAGTATTTGCACATCATATATATCATAATGGTCTTGGTGTCCAAGATAGGTAAGGAATTCTCAAAACTCAATAATAAAGAAGTTTATTTTTAAAACAGGCAAAAGTTTTGAGCAGATAACTTCACCAGAGACGATAATATGGATGGTAGACAAACAGGTGAAAGGATGCTCTACAGAATTAGAAGGAAGATGCAAATTTAGACCATAGTGAATAGGCATCTGGGTGGCTCAGTCAGTTAAGCAACCAACTTCAGCTCAGGTCATGATCTCGTGGTTCGTGGGTTCGAGCCCCACATCAGGCTCTGTGCTAACAGCTCAGAGCCTGGAGCCTGCTTCAGAATCTGTGGCGTGTGCTCTCTCTCTCTCAAAAATAAACATTAAAAAAAAAAAGACCATAGTGAGATATCAGGGAGTGGTTAAAAAATAAACTAATTAATTAAACCATAATGAGATACCATTACATACTTGTTAGAATATCTAAAATTAAAAATAAAACCATATCAAATGCTGCTTTTTAGGATAGAGAGAACCAGTTCTCACATACAGCCAGTGGAATGCAAAGTGTTATAGGCACTTTAGAAAACAGTTTTGGACTCTGCTGTCAGCATGGAGCCTGGTTTGGATCCTCTGTCCTCCCCTCTCTCTTCACCCCTCCCCTGCTCATGCTCTCTCAAAAATAAATAAACATTAAAAAAAAAAAAGTTTTACAGTTTCTTATAAAGTTATACATACACCTGCCATGTGATCCATCAGTTTTACTTTAGATATTTACCCAAGTGAAATGAGAACATGTTTACACAAACCTCAAATGCAAATGTTCATCGTGCCTTTATTTGTAATCGTCAAATACCGAAAATGAGTTGAGATACCTCTCAACTAGGGAACAGATAAACATACGTCTCCATAAGGAATAAAATACTGGTACACACAACATTGATGACCTCATATGTATTATGCCAAGGGAGAGATGCCAGACTCAGAAGGATACCTACTGTATGATTCTATCTGTAAAACATTCTGGAGGTTGTTAGTGTGTGTAGATGGGGCATTTAGGTTCCTGGAAAGGTAGCAACCAGTGCTCCAAAGAGTTGTAGAGTGAGATAAGGTCCATGGGAGAAGTAGTTGGCTTTGACATAGGAGGGAAGATGGAGAGCACAGAAGGATAATGGACATTAGGTGGAGAAGACTTTGGTGTTAGGAATTCTGGACAATAGCTTGAGCTAGATTGTGTAGAAATGTATGTCTGTTGGGGTGCCTGGGTGGTTCAATCCTTAAGTTCAGGTCATGATCTCATAGTTCGAGTGCCACGTTGGGTGAGCTTGAGCCCTGCTTCAGGTGAGCTTGAGCCCCACTTTGGATGAGCCCCGCTTCTCTTCCTCCCTCCCTCTCTCTCTCTCTCTTCCCCCTCCCCGACTCCTCTCTCTCTGTCAAGAAAGAAAGAAGGAAGGAAAGAAGGGAAAGGAAGAAAAAAAGAAGAAGGAAGGAAAGAAAGAAAAAGAAAGAAAGAAAGGTCTGTTGAGCACAAGGGATAGGTTGAGAGTTGAAGTGTGTAGAAACAGTATAGCTAGAGTTGCAAATACTGAAGGTTAAATCAGCATCAGTGAAGACCAGCTGAGGTTAAATGCAGAACTTCAATTAGACCCAGTCTACGTGGTTTCCTAACTTTGTTTTGCCATATTCCCCATCCCCAAGGAGAGGAAGCAGAAGGAAGGGAATATTCCCCAGATGGATTTGGCATGGCAGAAAGCTAAGGAGGTAAGGTGTTACTTCTGGAACAGTGGAGAGGATCACTTAAATGACCAAGCCCTGAAGTCTGTGTTGTGGTAGGAACTTGTTAAGATGTCTTAGTAAATGACTATGACCTTTGATTTGCTTTAATATTGTTTGACGATTTCTCTTCTCCAAGAATTGCCCTTAGAGAAGAGGCCTTTGGAAGGTTCTTCTTACGAAGATAGAGAAGGTAGTGGAAACGAGCCTCCTGAGTTTTTCCAGCCCTAAATGGCAGCAGAATCAAGAAAGTTGTCAGCCTCATCCCCACCAGACCAAGCTCCTGAAGAAGACCTTGTAATTGTCAAGGTAGAGGAAGATCATGGCTGGGACCAGGAATCTAGTCTGCATGAAAATAATCCTCCTGGCCAGGAGTTATTCCGTCTGCGCTTCAGGAAGTTATGCTACCAGGAGACATTAGGACCCCGAGAAGCTCTGATCCAACTCCGCGCACTCTGCCATCAGTGGCTAAGGCCAGATTTGAACACCAAGGAGCAGATCTTGGAGTTATTAGTGCTAGAACAGTTCTTGACCATCCTGCCTGAGGAGCTTCAGACTCTGGTTAAGGAACATCAGCTAGAGAACGGAGAGGAGGTGGTGACCCTGCTGGAGGATTTAGAAAGACAGATTGATATATTAGGACGGCCAGTAAGTAGATGGATGTGTGCATGCTGTGCCCACGGTGTGTGGAAGCTGGGTGATAGACACCAGCACCGCAGCAGTGGAATGAATGCTGGGTGTCGATTTCTTTTTGTGAGGATAAAAACAGTTCTAGTGCGGTATGGCTCATATTTGTAGAGTCCTTTTTATTTTTGTAAAGGATATGTGTACGTTTTTTATCCTCAACATCCTTGCAATGATCTTTGCCAAGTGGGAAACTGGTATGCAGGGAGCTTGAATTACTTCAGTGACTTTGGACACTCATAATTAAAGGTAGATCTGAGACCAGAACTAAGGTTTCCTGGTTTGTTACCAAAAGTTTTTTCTGTGGAATAACTGCTCCAAGTTTCTGTTTATCAGGCTTCCCATGCCTTGGGAGTGCAAAATGGTAGGAAGGGCATCAGAAATGATGCCTTTCTGCGCTAATCAACACATTTGTGTTCTTACTGCCTCTAGGAAGTAAGTGAGATTCTGCTTCCTCCTTTCCCAAGCATGTGTCCCTAGAGATGAGCTCTTCTTGATTGTTTTATGTTGTTCACTGCCTCTCGCAAAGGAATTTCTTGTAATGCAGCTGCCCTGTTGTTTTCAGGTCCCAGCCCGTGCACATGGTCATGGACTCTGGGAGGAGGTCGTACATTCAGAGTCTACACCAGGGCTTCCAAATACTCAGCTCCGACCCATGGCAATGCAGCACAAATCTCCGGTGTCCCAAGGGTCACAAGAGAAAGGTAAGGAACCAGATTTCATTGATGAGAGGGAGGAATAGGAAAGAAAGTACCTGTTGAGTTCCTGGAGAACCAGGAACTAGAATTTTTGTGTACAGACCAGTCCTAAGATCTGAGTTTAAGTGTTTATCTAGGCTTCAAATATAGATTGTCAGTCCCATTGGTAAGTTCAAGAACAAATCAAAGAATTTGGGGATTCTTACATAGTCACACATTTCTGTTATCCCAGTATATTTTTTGTAATTTTAATTTATTTTAATTTTTAAATGTATTTATTCTTGAGAGAAAGAAAGTGAGCAGGGGAGGTGCAGAGAGAAAGGGGGACAGAGGATCTGAAGCAGGCTCTGCAGCCGACTCAGCAGAGAGCCTGAGATGGGACTCAAACTCACGAGCTGTGAGAGCATGACCTGAGCTGAGGTTGGATGCTCAACCAACTGAGCCATCCAGGTGCCTTCCCAATGTTTTTTGGTTTTTTTTTTAAGTTTATATATGTATTTTGAGAGAGAGCGAGGGAGAGAGCATGTGCATGTTGGGAGGTGGGAGGGGCAGAGAGAGAGAATCTCACTTGGTCCCACTAACAGGATCATGATGTGAGCCAAAACCAGAAACCAGAGTTGGGTGCTTAACAAGTGGTGGGGAGGGGAGGATGTGCTAGCAAATGCATGTACACGTGAGAGCATGAGCTGGGCAGGGTCAGAGGGAGAAGTAGAGAGAGAATCTCAGGCCAGCTCCACACCTCGAGCCTGGACATGGGGCTTGATCCCATGACCCTGGGATCATGACCTGAGCTGAAATCAAGAGTTGGACATTCAGCCCACTGACCGACCCATGTTACCTCAATGTATTAACAACATAGGCGTTTTGAGGTTTTGCTGGTATCATCATGCCACTTTATTTATAATTATTTCAGTATATAATTCTTCAAGCAAGAGCATTTTCTTTGATAGCCACAATAAATGCATCACAATTAGGAAGTGTAATGCTGGTACTGTACTAATCTGGTCCATAGTTCATATACATGTTTTGTCAGTTGTCCCAGTAATCTTCCAGAATCTAATCCAAGATTCCATTTTGCAGTCAGTTGTTTTGTCTCTATAGACTCCTTTATTTTTTTTTTTTTAAACTTTTTTTTTTTTTCAACGTTTATTCATTTTTTGGGACAGAGAGAGACAGAGCATGAACGGGGGAGGGGCAGAGAGAGAGGGAGACACAGAATCGGAAACAGGCTCCAGGCTCTGAGCCATCAGCCCAGAGCCCGACACGGGGCCTGAACTCACGGACCGCGAGATCGTGACCTGGCTGAAGTCGGACGCTTAACCGACTGCACCACCCAGGCGCCCCTAGACTCCTTTAATTCAAAATAGTTTCTTGGCCTTTCTTTGCCCTTCATGACCTTGACATTTTTGAGAGTACAGGTTGGTTATTTTATAGAATAGCTGTAAAATTTGGGTTCGTGTGATGTTTCCTTACGAGTCAATTCAAGTTGTGCATATGTGTCAGGAACTCCCCAAAAGTACTGTTGTATCCTTCTCAGCATTACAACAGGAAATTGTCCTGTTATTGGTGTTGGTACCTTTGATGACTTGGTTAAGGTTATTCTTGGTTAGGTTTGGGGCACCTGGCGGCTCAGTGGGTTAAATGTCCAACTCTTGATCTCGGCTCAGGTCATGATCTCACAGTTAATGAATTTGAGTCCCGCATCGGGCTCTGCGCTGACAGCAGAGTCTGCCTGGGATTCTCTCTCCTCCTCTCTGCTGCTTTCCCTCTGGCGCACACTCTCTCTCTCTCTCTCTCTCTCTCTCTCAAAATAAATACACGTTTTTTTTTTTAAAAAGGCTTATTTTTGCTAAGGTAATCATTGTGGTTACTATTTTTCCCTTTGTGATAAATAAGTAATTTGTGGGGAAAGTACTCTTGAGTCTGTGCAAGTATTTGGTCCACATCAAACTTTTGTTTTTAAAATACTAGTTTTAATATTCATTGTTGCTTCTTGATTGAATCGGTGATTAGTGAGACTTACAAACTGATGATTTTCTAACTATGTCATTCCTTCTACACTTACTTGTAATAAAGAGTGTTCCCTCCCCATTTTATTTTATATGTCAGTATGGACTCCTAAATTCTTACTTTATTCCAGAAATAAAGTATCTTTAGTTATCTTTATTTTATTATTGTGTTTATTTTGATGCTTAAATTGTCTCAGATTTATTCAGAGGAGGCCCCCTTCAGTCTGGCTCCTGTGTCCTTTTGACACTTCCCTATCGTTTTTTTGAGAACTTCTTGCAGAACAAGACCATTCTAGTGTCATCTTGTATTTACTCTGCGTTTCTTTTTTCATTTATGTGTTTTATAGCCGTTCTATATAAATGGGTTTTTAACATTCCTAAAGAAGAAACATAGGAACAGTTTCAGTTAGTTATATAATTCTTGTCTAAAGTTCTAAAGCGTATTACCCAAAACACAGTAGTCTGTTTATTGGTGTTGCACTGTCTGATACCTATGGGAAGCAGATAGTGGCAGTCATGGTGGACATGTCAGGAAGGTAATAGAGTTAATAGAGGTAGATTGGTTCTGTTGGCTCTCATATTCCATTTGCCAAGACATGAAGACCTGAAGAAATGCTGTACACAAGCACAAGGATAGAACGTAGTTTTGGTGGTAGAGAAGAAATTGAAAAGCAGTTCCTGTTAGGAAACCAGCACTCTATTTTCGGCACGGAATTTCAGGCTGAGTGGGACATCAAAGTGCAGATGTCCTGTGGGCAGCCATTAGTGTGGGCCCAGAGCCCAAGATACCAGATTTGATTTGATTTGATTTTTTATATTTTATATTATTTCATTTCATGTTTCATTTTAATGTTTTAAGTGTTTATTTAAGCAGTCTCTATACTCTATACTCAAACTCATGACCCCGAGATCTGGAGCCACATGCTCCACGTACTGAGGCAGCCAGGGGCCGCTCAGCACTTCTTGTGCAAGATCTCTGACATGCATATCTTCTGAAATGCAGACAGCTTTGGAATGGGTTAGTGCTGGCTCCTGCAACTGTGGGACAGGGTGGTCTCACTCCTCGCTTCTTTCTCCTCTCAGCCATCTCTACTTGTGAGAGTCCTGCCTCTTCCCAGAAAGGAAGTCCTGGGAACCAGGAGATGACGGCCACACTGCTCACAGCAGGGCTGCAGGTGAGTTGTACTGCTTCTAGATCTGCTTCGCAGCACCGGTGGCATCTGCCACGTGCCCGGGCTCTCTGTAGCAGTACTCACCAGGAACTTGCCCCAGATGTTTCTGCATGATTCTTGATTTCCCCCACCAAATCTGGTGCGTTTTCCTCTTTGTCCCCCGCTTAGTTACATCCCTTTACACAGTGTGTTCCCCCCCCTTGATCCTCCCCTGCACTGGCGGACCTCTGACAGTCTGGGTTTGAGCCATGGAACAGTGCCAGTTCCACATGGGGATTTTGTTTTGTTTCAGACTTTGGAGAAGATCGAAGACATGGCTGTGTCCCTAATTCGAGAGGAGTGGCTTCTTGATCCATCACAGAAGGATCTGCATAGAGATGACAGGCCAGAAAATTACAGAAACATGTTCTCCCTGGGTAAGGAGAGCTCTGGTTATTGTCATCATTTAAGGTTTTTTTTGTTTGTTTGTTATGTGATGGTAGCTGTGAGTTGTCTGAAAGACATTCTTAAGTTTAAACTCAGGAACTAACAGAGAGAAACAGTGCTGACCCATGGACTTTTATTCTCTGATCCAGGGCTTACTGTGGGTACTGTTCTGTCTGCCAGTGGGAGTCCTCTGCTCCCAGCCCTGTGGGACTTTCGGGCCTGTCATGCTCCTCCCTGTCAGTGCCAGGGCTTTTCCCATTTCTGTCCTGTTAGGTCATTCACTACGTCTGTATTCCTACCCACTCCCCAGCTGCCCCTCAGGTGGTCCCTTCCCTGCCTTCGTGCCTCCCAACAACCCTCCTTGTTCATGGCACTTCTTCCCCATTTGGCTTGTGGTACTTCTGCTTGGCCCTGTTCTCATCTCCCTGTATTATGATAGCAGCTTGGAGACAGATGGAAGCTGTGTGATTGCTGGTAGTTCTTCCATGTGTGTTTTCCTTTTCCCTTATATTCTATTCCTTTCTAACATGGAGAATAGAAAGTGACATTGGCTTGATGTTTATCACATTTTAATTTCAGGTGGTGAGACCAGGAGTGAGAACAGGGAATTAGCTTCGAAACAGGTAATATCTACTGGAATCCAACCACATGGAGAGACAGCTGCCAAATGCAACGGGGATGTTATCGGGGGTCATGAGCGTGGAGAAGCCCGAGATCTTCTGGGCAGATTAGAGAGGCAGCGGGGAAATCCCACCCAGGAGAGACGGCATAAATGTGACGAATGTGGGAAGAGCTTTGCCCAGAGCTCAGGCCTTGTTCGCCACTGGAGAATCCACACTGGGGAGAAACCCTATCAATGTAACGTGTGTGGGAAAGCCTTCAGTTATAGGTCAGCCCTTCTTTCCCATCAGGATATCCACAACAAAGTAAAACGCTATCACTGTAAGGAGTGTGGTAAAGCCTTCAGTCAAAACACAGGCCTGATCCTGCACCAGAGAATTCATACTGGGGAGAAGCCATATCAGTGCAATCAGTGTGGGAAGGCTTTCAGTCAGAGTGCAGGCCTCATTCTGCACCAGAGAATCCACAGTGGGGAGAGACCCTATGAATGTAATGAGTGTGGGAAAGCTTTCAGTCATAGCTCTCACCTCATTGGACATCAGAGAATCCACACAGGGGAGAAGCCCTATGAGTGTGAGGAGTGTGGGAAAACCTTCAGGCGGAGCTCACACCTCATTGGCCATCAGAGAAGCCACACTGGGGAGAAACCCTACAAATGCAATGAGTGTGGGAGGGCCTTCAGTCAGAAGTCAGGCCTGATTGAACATCAGAGAATCCACACTGGAGAAAGACCCTATAAATGTAAAGAATGTGGGAAAGCCTTCAATGGGAACACTGGCCTCATACAGCATCTGAGAATTCACACAGGGGAGAAGCCCTATCAATGTAATGAGTGTGGGAAAGCCTTTATTCAGAGGTCAAGTCTCATTCGGCATCAGAGAATCCACAGTGGAGAAAAATCTGAATCCGCAGGAGTTTAGGGAAAAAACTACAGTCCTGGTGTGGGCATTATTCAGAATTAGAGAAGCCACATGCTGGTGAGAGGTCTTTCAGTGCAAGTAAAAAGCCAGAAACTTTGTCATCACTACAACCTTAACGTAGGATCAGAATCGGTAGCGGTGGCAGAGTTTGAATAGCTCTTCAGTAGTTTGGGCCGGTTCCTTGATGCAGGTGGATCAGCTTGACTGTCTTAGGAGGTGTCTGATGGAGTGGAGCTCCTGGTGGCCTAATGCATCCTTTAGAAACACAATAGCATCTGAGCAAGTGGCTGGTGGTGGAGGCACTTAATTTTGTCTTTCGGGTGAGTAGCTGTAGGTGTGAGAGAGGCTCCTCCCGGTTCCTCTGCTTCTTCCCATCTCCTGTGATCTCCTTCCCCCACTGATTCCCCGGCAGGCGCACTTGTTATCCTGATCTGATCTGAGAAGCTACTTTAGAGTTTGAAGCAGCCTCCCTGTGAGAACTTATATTTGTATTTAGCTTTCTAAGAACCTAGTTCTAGGGAAATTTTTACAGACACATAATGTATTTATGCTTAAGTGTGCGTGTTATTTTATCCCAACGTTCCTGATAGTGGAAAACCGTATTCCCACGCAAACTCAGAATGCTATATTTTTAACAGCACTCCAGCATTTTTCTTCATATATCACCTTCGCTGACTCCTCTGAGTCACTGAGCATCCATACGTGTCCTCCACCACCCCCACCCCCAGCACCTGTGTCAGCAAAAGAAGTGATGTTTGTGGGAGTGAAGCAGAGAAGGAGGTGAGTGGAGACTCAGTCTGGCTGCTCTCGAGCTTGGGTGGTTGTACCTTTGGGTGACTTCCGGCTCTCTTTTCCACCTTCCCGCTGTATGCCGTGGTGCACAGAGGTGTGGACACTGTTCCAGTTGTAGCATGGCGTGGGCGAAAGGGGAGACAGGTGCTTGAAGACCTAAAATCCTTACGAAGAACGCGCACTCATCCCTTCTGGCCCATTACAGCCCTGCCCTCTCAGGTTCCGGTCAGTCTGCACAGACCCCTGACTGGATGGTCTGTCCCTGCTGTCATTGCCCTCGTCCCCCTTCCTCAGATGGCCTTAGCACCTCACCCTTCATTCTCCATCTGTCTCTTGCCATTAGCTTTATAAATGCACAGCGGTGATCTGTCAAATACCTCACCCCACAGTCCCGCACTGTTCTGAATTCGTCTGTAAGCTAGCGGAAACACAATATTAACTCATTACCGGGCACTGTCTTTCTCCTTTGCGGCTTTCCATATACCAGGGGATATTGTATAAAGTAACAAGGCTGTTCTAAGCAGCACACCAGAACCTGTGCATCCGAACATGGTCTGCCCTTTAAATTTGGCGGTCCGGGTTGTTGCTGTAGCACTACCACTCCTCCCAACATTTGGAAGACTTCTAGTCTTGAATAGTGTCTCGTTTTTGACCATTACCCACTTGTTCACCAGACTTAGAGTTGAGTCCTTTTTGGCTTTTTTTCCAAAGTCAGCTTTCAAAACGGGAATTGATTCCATTAATCCTATGCCGAAGAATATGCTACACATTCTGAAGAAAACGCCAGGAGAATTTACACAACTTCACACTGACCTGAACAGGGACAGCACTTACTCATCATGTTATTTTAAGATTGGTGTTTTTAAAAACCAGTCGTAAAATCTTTCAGTGTAAAGGTCCAACTTTTATATCATAAATTCCTTCCTTATAAAATCCCTTCTGTATCCTGCTATGGCCCACCCTGACCACTGACAACATCAAGGTTGTTATACCTATTTCATTGAGCCATTGATACCCACCTGTCATAGGTCATGCTTGGTTTCCTTGGTTAACTGTTTCTATTTTCTTTTTTTTTGTTTTTTAAGTTTATTTATTTTGAGAGAGAGAGAATCCCAAGCAGGCTCAGCACTGCCAATGCAGAGCCCAGTGCAGGACTTGAACTCCTGAACTATGAGATTATGACCTGAGCTGAAATCAGAAGTCAGACAATTAGCCGACTGAGCCACCCAGGCACCCCTCCTTGGTTAACTCTTTCAAAATAGTGCTTTCCATTATCCTTTATTTTCTTACTGTCCTTTTTTTTTTTTTTTTTTTTGGACTATAGATTCCCTTGCACTTGAAGGGAATTCCATTCCTCATTCTCTTGTACTTGAAATTTCAAGACACCAGGAATAAATCTGGACTCTAGATCCTTGTTCTCTGTGTACCCTCTGTAAGACACGAACTCTGCCTGAGGCCAGTGCTGCCCACATGCGGGTCTTACAGGATGGAGTCACTGTCCAAGGGAAGATACGTGCACACGTGCACAGTCTCCCAGGCGGTTGAGGGGAGCACTTGTCCAGTGAGGGCTCTTAGAGTAACGTGTTGAAATGACTGTAGGCACACCAGCTAACGTCTCTTTACTACAGTAATGTGTAGCCGTGCTGTGCATTAAATCCATAATTACTAAGCATCTGGCAGAATTCAGAGGAAAGATGTGCCCTGAAAGATCAGTGTTCTGCTGGAAAGAATAAGGACAGACTGTGACCTGAAGGAACTATTGAAGCCGGTTCAGCCGCATCCAGAAATAGCCACTTGGTGTAAGAAGGTAGAAAAGGCTGTTGTTTATCTGGGGCACACATAGAAGTCCATTCTTGGTCTCCGCTAATCACTCTGCACCAGAATGTGGTTGCTCCATCTTTATGACGTTATTTTGAGCTCTTAACTGTGAGTGATGTGTGCTAAATTCCTTTATATCCTGCAGATTCTGTTTTTATGCTCTTGATCTGAAATGAACTGTTCACCAATACCTTCTCCCATCGTGATCTTCTCATTTTAGGACCTGGCATGATAAAGTGGTTCTTCTGTCACTCTGTTGCCATCCAACATAGTCCTAGGAGAGGCGTCTTAGGCTTCAAAGGTTTACTCCATTGAGCAGGTGGCAGTGCTAGAATGTGGTGGATGATTGCCATACACGGCAGTTAGCTTTACTCTTGGTTCTGAGACTCGAAATAGTAATAGCTGACATTTATTAAGTATGTACTGTGTGCCAAGCTCTATGCTAAGTGTTTCTCATGGTTATGACACACATTATATCTTACATTTTATAGATGAGGAAATAAGCTTAGAGAAGTGAGTGAGTTGACCAAGGTCATGTAGCTGGGAAATGACAGAGCAGGGGCTCTGCCCAACAGTGTCAGATTCTGGAGGCTGTGCTGCTGACCACTGTGCTGTATTGTCTCTGATGAGCACACTGGCCCTGGCCAGCCATTGGAAAATCCAGTGTCCCTGGCCATAAGATAGGTAGCTACTGGGGAAGGGAATGCATAGTGGTACAGCGCTGTGTAGTGCAGTTGATTGAAAATGTCATTTTGATTGATGATTGTATCTTTAAATGCTGATACTTTTGATGCTTTGTAGTATTAGAAAGCTAAATTGTACAAGTAAAGCATGTTTAAAAGAGTAACTGGCAGGATAAAGCAATAAGGTACAGATTCGAGTACATTTCTCTAAACTGCCCCAAGGAAGTAGAATTGTGGGGGGAAATGAAAAATACCCATGCGCCCAGCCAGGCATATGGTCCGTTGGGATGACAGGAGTTAAGTTTACCTACAGCGTAAACTGTGGAAAACCTTCCACTTCACTGCCCATATCCAGCTGCCATTCTGTTTTTCTTGTCATTCATGATCTTTCGAACATGTCATCCATTGTTCAACCCTATTTTCTCATTAATATATTCTTAAAACTTCTTATTGGCTTATGTACTCAGCATGCCACTGAAGTGTCCTATGGACAAATATCAATGCCTTTTCTAAGTTCTTGTCCTGTTTTGTTTTGTTTTTGAGAGAGAGAGAGAAAGCGAGCATATGAGCAGGAGAGGGGCAGAGAGAGAGAATCCCAAGCAGGCTGTGCACTATCAGCAGGGAGCCCAATGTGGGCCTCAGACTCAAGAAACTTGAGATCATGACCTGAGCCGAAAGCAAGAGTTGGACGCTTAACTGACTGAGCCACCCCAGGCGCCCCTTGTCCTTGACCTGTATTTCGCACTGTTGAGTAGGGACCCTGCATCTCAGGAATTCTTTTCTTTGGCTTGTGGGATCTTTTTTGATCATTTTCCTCCTAATTTTTAGCTTTTCTTTATTGGTCTTTTTTCTCCACTGAAAATAATCTCCATGTCTTGGTTTTATCCAGTATTTTTTCTGTATTTGCTTCTATTTATGTTTTGATTATTTACACTTACCTTCTGTATTTCAGTACTTTAATTATTTCCCACCCTATGGGTCAGTTACCTACATAATTTGATATTTGGGAACAGAACTCCTCACTCTTGTCCCCCAGCCTACATTTTCCTTTTAAATAGGCATTATTGCTTAGCTTCTTTACCTTGAATAGACTCCCTGCCCTTCATGTTTCTTTTTTTATTTTTATTTTTTAAAGTAGGCTCCATGCTCAGGGTAGGGCTCAAACTCATGACCCTGAGATCGTGTCCTGAGCTCCTCAGGCGCCCTGCCCTGTCTTGGAGTTGTCCTTTAGTCTTTTTCTGCTCTTCACTGTACGTGTCTCACATCTTGCTGAGTCATTCCAGTTCTCCGTCTTCTCCTTGAGGCTGGATCTTTTACATTTCTGCCATCCCCTGCAGCCTTCTGCAGAGCCATGCCATCTGAGGCCCCAGCTGTGGTAATTCTTTCTTTCTAGTGTCCTTGCTTTCAAGACCCCCTTCAGTAACGCTTCTAAGGTGATCCTCCTCAAAATTCATTTTCGGTCAGAAACACTCAGCAGATGATGGCTGTCCCAGCAGTGGTGTTCCAGGTTCTCCATGTTTTGCCCTTCATGTTTCACCTGCCTCAGCCTAATTCTCTGGCATATTCACCTTGACTCTTGTTCAAACTTCCGTGGCCTTCCACTGCTGTCTTACAAGCCCTTGCCTCCGTGCCTTTCTCATGCAATTTCTTTTGTTTGGATTGGGGTTTTTTTTGGCCCCACTTCTTTCGCATCCATATCTTCAAAGCCTAGCTTCTTTATATCTTCGAGTGGGCTCTCCCTGACTTCACCTCACACTGAGACCTCCCTTGTTCTGTGCTGCCTCAGCACTTACCCTTTGAGTTTGTACTGTGGTCCATGCACTTACTAATATGTTGCTTTGTAATTATTTTCTAGCTCTCTGTATTGTAGTTTCACATGTGTATTTATTTTCAAAATTAAATTGTAAGCTCCTTGAGGGCAGGAATAATAACTTTTACATTTGTATCTCTGCACCCCCTAGTGCCTAGTACAGTGCTGAGCACACAGTAGGTGTTTAATAAATGCTTGTTGAATCGTTGTGTGGATTATTTATGGAGTTCTATAATTGCCTGTACCTAAGACTAAAAAATCCAACTTCAGGGGAATATATGTGAAAACTGAAATAAGAAGCTCTCCATTTGGCCAAATTTATTCTTTAAGGAAGAAAATAGGAATAGTAAACTCTAAAGATTACTGTGTTAAAGTTATTGTTGCAAAAGTGCTGCAGAATAGACTTTTGTATCTGACGTTAAACCAGTGGTTTTCAACTGGAGAAAATTGGCAATGTCTGGAGATAGCTTTGGTTCTATCATCGGTGCACAGGTGGGATGCCACTGGCATCTGGCAGATAGAGGTTAAGGATACTGTAAACACCTTGCATGCACACACAGCCCCCACGACAACAAAAATTATCTGGCTTCATATGTTTAATTGGGCCAAAGTTGAGAAGCCCTGGGCTGGACATATTTAAGATATATAGGAGAAAGAAGAGAGAGGAATACTAGCGTTGCAATTAGAAAAATTAGCTATGGCAAGGCTTAAAAGAACCCTGTTATATATATTTTAGAGTATGTAAGATTAGAAAAGAAAAAGCCTTAATGTTTGGAGTTCACAGCAATATACACACCAGGGTGATGGTAAACCATAAAATGGTTGATAATGATGTTCTAAGGTTGCTTTCAGGGGCAGATCTGCCTCCCTCATTATACCAAGTACCAGGTGTTACAGGACTACAGTCTGGTTTCGTTTTATAGAATCAAAGATAATACTTAGGGCGCTATCCCTTTTGCAGGGGGCCGGTAACCTATAAAAGACGTAGCTTTGGAGACAACACATAACCTTCAACAGTTCCTTTGGCAGCAGCTAGGCAGGATTAACTAGTCCAAGGAAATCAAGCCAGAATGCAGTCAGAGTTTGCCAAGTAAAACATACCCACTTAAGTTTTTAACAGAGTTTTACTCTCACCTAAGAAGGCAAATATGTAGAAAAAAATGATTTCCTAAATTAGTTTTAAAAAACCTTTTAAGAACATTCATCTTTCTCATCATCATTAAGTAGCTCAGTGGCACTTAAACAGGTTTAAAAAGTATCAACTCGAGTTAGAAAATCGGTTTCAATGTGTAGTTCACCAAAGAAATCACTGCATTGCTCTGTTGTGTTTAATTATTCATAGTCTATAGAATGCTAGGCTTGGAAGTGACCTTTGAGATCATTTCCCAACCCATTCTGCAAACGGAGGTCCACAAAGGCCCGGCGACCACTGGGTCGCCCGTTAAGGTTTGTGGTGCAGGTAGAAGAGAATCCTGGCTTCCTGATGCTTTGCCCATTTCTTTTCTGACTGGTTATGCGCTCAGGTCTGACCCTTGTTCTTGTGTGTTCTTAATTGTTACCCCGCCAGGGAGGGGGTGGATCCGTACTTTGAGCCTCCAACTGTAATGTTTTATTCTAGGACTTACTCCTTTCATCAGTTTGTATGTCCATACAAGTATACTGACTCGGTGCCTTGGGTTAAATTCTCCCATTAAGGCCAGTTGGTGTCCCAGTCAAGTTTTGAAAGCCCCGTCCTCCTGGGCCTGTTCCCTAATCTTCAACACAAGGAGCGGCTCTGGCCTTCTGATCGTCAAAGATAAAGCTCTGAGCACCTGCACTCCCGCCCGGCGGTTTTGGGCATCCTTCAGGGTCCCCCTGGAGATTCTGCCTTTCCCGGCCGCGGTGTCTTCAAATTCCAAGATTCCAGAGTCGTCCGTTCTACACTGGACAGAATCAACAAAGGGAAAGCACCTCTGAGCGAAGGGGCCTCGGGTCGGCCTCCGCGGACCACCCGGGGCGGCGGCGCTCCAGGATTGGGCTGGTGGAGGACCCGCCCGGAAGTGCCGAGCGGGCCGCCCCGGAAGTGCCGGGACTTCCGGCCCACGGGCGGCGGTGGCAGCGATTACCTGCTCGGGCTCACCTGCAGACGCGAGTCCCGCGTCCGAGGGAAGCACGGGGGAGTCTGGCCGGCCGCCCCTCCGGCCGCGGACCCGACGCCCCAGTGCGGCCCGGTCTTTCCCACGGCCTCCCGAGATTTATGGAGCCGCCGTGACCACGTGCACCCCTGGTAGCTGTGGTGTAGCCCCCAGCCGACCCTCGGCCCGCCTTTCCGAACAGATGGGGAAACTGCGGAGGACTGGAAATACGCACTTGGGGCAGGCTTCCTCTTCCACCCGGGTGCCCGGGACGTTTCCTGGTGCGTGCGGATTCACTTGGGCTGCAGCTTGGCCCGTGGGGCCGGTGCCCGGCTCTCGGCAGCCGCTTTCCCACCCGCGCGGCCTGCGGCCCTGTTCCTGCCTGGCCTGCAGTGCCCTGCGGCAGGGGCGAGTCGGGGCACCGGCCCCACCGGCTGCCCAGCCTGGGATCGGACACGCGACCTAGCAGATCAGCCCCTTGCTTGACACTGCGTTTTTTCTCCCGCCCCTCACTAGTTAGTGTGACAGCTATGGCAGTCTTTGCTTTTTCTTTGAGTAAGATAGTGTTTCTTTTACAAAAGAAGGGCAACGAAGAGGAGACCCGTAAGAGGAAGCTTACTGAATCGCAGACTCTAATGCGTGGCAGCATTAGAGGAGCTGTTTTCTCTGCTTTCAAGAATTCTGTTACTAGAAAACTCCTTGTTCTGGGCCGGCTCCAGCTCAGTTGACACTGGCTGAGGCCAGTTCCTGACCTTTAGGCCTAAGGAGTGCCAGATCTGGGAGAGGGACGGGCGTGGCGTGGGGCGGCGCGGGGGCGCGGATCAATGAGAAAGTGGCTGAGTTGGATGAAACCAGACAGCAGGAAGGGAAGGGAGAAGTATTTATTAAGTCATCGTAAACGTTTAGTCTCTTAGGGATGTTTTTTTCCATTTTGGGGGCCTATAGGTCTAAACCTGTGATGTGGCCAAATCACTTAATCTCTCTGTGCCTCTATTTCCTCATATGTAAATGAGGATGACAAAAGCACCTGCCTAGAATTGTTATCATGATTACATGAACGGTACCTGATAACAAAAGTTGTATCTAGATATTGTCATTATTTTTCTCCATACCTCTCTTAACTGGTCTGCTCTAATGATTCATTTGTTTATACAGTGATACATTCATAATTTCATGTGTTTAATTTTTTTTTTCAGGTCCCAGCTCTTGCACAGTCAAGAAGTAATCTAGCAAGAAATATCAGTCCTGGGAGCCAAGGGAGGGAGAATCACTGTCCCCAACTCCTACCCAGGAACGCACCATTAAAATCTCAACTATAGGAACCCTTTATCCCACGAGAGGGTTGTAAGTATTAAACTTTGACATTCTGTAGTTTTCTGAAGATTCTACAATAAGGCACCTGAGAAGACTCTTTTTTTTAAGTTAATATAACATATCAATGTAGGTGTGCTGTTATGAACCCTCAGCAGAATCTGCTTCAAAGTGAGGGTAGAACAAGAGGGCACCCGGCTCACCTGCCATTTCCACAGTATGTTATTGATAAAGAATTCTGTCTTTGCTGCCTGTTGTCTGAGACAAGCTGTATTGTTTTTTTATGTGTCTTTGACTCTGCTTAAGGTGGTTTTGTTATTTTACCTTGCAGGAATTTTGATTCTTTGTATTGATTTCAAATTTACCAATCTTTTCATTTATAGCCTCTGGATTTGGGCTTATAATTAGAAAGGCCTTCCTACTCTGAGGTTATTAAAGACTTCTCCCACATTTTCCTCTGGTACGTTTATAGTTTTCATTTATAACATTTGAAACTTTGATTTAGGGGCGCCCAGGTGGCTCAGTCGTTTGAGCATCCAACTTCGGCTCAGGTCATGATCTGGCAGTCTTTGAGTTCGAGCCCCACGTTGGGCTCTGTGCTGACAGCTCAGAGCCTGGAACCTGCTTCGGATTCTGTGTCTCCCTCTCTCTCTCTGCCCCTCCCCCGCTTATGCTTGGTCTCTCTCTCTCTCTCTCTCTCTCTCTGTCAAAAATAAATAAACATTTAAAAAATTTAAAAAATGTTTTAAAATAAATAAATAAAACTTTGATTTATTTGGAATATTGACCTGTATATAGACTGAGGAAGGAATCCAATTTAACATTTTTCCAGATGATTACCTAGTTCTCACCATACATTTATTGAGGAGTCTACTCGTCTTTTTCTTACTGATTTAGTACCTTTTTTCTATGCTAAATTTCTCCCTCTGATTGCATCTATTTCTGGACTTTCTATTCTGTGCCATTTGTCTGTCTCACCACTATCACACTGCCTCACTGAGGCTTTGTAATATGTTTATGATCACTTAGGAAAAGTGCTCCTTCATTGCCCTCCTTTTCAGAGTTGTACCAGGGAGTCTTGCTTGTTTACTTACTTGTCTATGTGAACGTTAAAATCTATTTACAAAAAAGTTGGTATTTTTTATTGGAATAGTATTCAATTTACAAATTAAGAAGTAGTTTCTGAGTGCAAAGTGGAGGGATTTTAGGACTGCAATCGATCTGGGTTCAAATTTCATCTGTCTCCTTTTTTTTTTTTAAGCTTTCTGCTTTTTATTTATTTGCTTATTTTACTTTTTTTATGATTTTATTTAAGTTGAAGTTAGCTAACATATAGTATAGTAATGGTTTCAGGAGTAGAATTTACTGATTCATCACTTACGTGCAACCCAGTGCTCATCACAAGTGTCCTCCTTAATGCCCATCACCCATTTAGCCCATCCCCTCCTCCCCAAACCCCTCTAGCAACCCCTCACTTCTCAGTATTTAAGAGTCTCTCATGGGGGAGCCTGGTTCGCTCAGTTGGTTAGGTGTCTGACTTCAGCTCAGGTTATGATCTCACAGTTCGTGGGTTTGAGCCCCACATCTGGCTCTGTGCTGACAGCTCAGAGCCTGGAGCTTGCTTCAGATTCTCTCTCTCTCTCTCTCTCTCTCTCTCTCTCTCTCTCTCTCTCTGCCCCTCCCCCGCTTGTTCTCTGTCTCTCTCAAAAATAAACATTAAAAATTTAAAAAAAAAAAAAATAGTCTCTCGTGGTTTGTCTCCCTCTCAGTTTTTATCCTATCTTTTTAAGTTTGGGGGGCTTTTTTGTTTATTTTGAGAGAGAGAGAGAGAGAGAGAGAGAGAGAGCGAGCATGGGCAGGAGAGCAGCAGAGGGAGAGAGAGAGAGAATTCCAAACAGGCTCCATGCTGTCACTGCAGAACCAGTTGCCAGCCTCAATCCCACAAACCAGGAGATCATGAGCTGACCCGAAAACAAGAGTTGGATGGTTAACCGACGAAAACACCCAAGCGCCCCTATCTTACTTTCTTTTCCCTTCCCTTCCCCCTGTGTTCATCTGTTTGTTTCCTGAATTCCACATGTGGGTGAAATCATATGTGGTATTTGTCTTTCTCTGACTCGTCTGCTTTATTAGTTGTCCAACCAAAAAATTTATCTGCTTTTCAGTTTTCTTACACATGAAAGGAGGAGCATAACGTTTTATTTGCGGAATTAAAGGCGATAAAAGGTGCAAAATACCTGGTTTGAAGTAAAAACCTTGTTTGTTGGCCAGCTCAGGGACCACTGAGGAAGAAGCCTCCGGGGCCCTAGAGCGGCCGCAAAGCGAGAGCAGCAGGGATCTGCGGAAGTCGACGGCTCCGCCCCTTCCGGCGCCGTACTCACCTCGGAAGTGCAGGTGTGGGGTCTGGTTTCGGAGCGGGGGGCCTGCTCGCTCCCTGGTCTCGGCTGACCACCACCCTGGCCTCCGCCTGCTTTCTCGCGCCCCTGCCGCTCTTCCTTTGCTCCCTTGCCCGGCCCCTCCCCTGCCGCTCAGGCTTGCGGAATAACAGAGAGTCTGGGGGAGGGGACCGCCCCGTCCTGGCCCCTGTATCCTCCCCTACATCGTGTGTGTGTGTGTGTGTGTGTGTGTGTGTGTGTGTGTGTGTGTGTGTGTGTGTGTGTGTGTGTACGCACGCGTGTGTGTGTGTGTGTGTGTGTGTGTGTGTACGCGCGCGCGCGCGACACTCAGGGACACCTGGCAGTTTTATTGAGATGTTCCTGAGATCTTTTTGCCTCAAAGAAAAAAGCTAAATGAGCTACTCATGAAGATTCCTTTCTTTTGCTATTTTACATTTTTATTTATTTTTGGGAGCCAGCAGAGCATGAGAGGGGTAGGGGACAGAGAGAGAGAGAGGATGACACAGAATCTGAAGCAGGCTCCAGGTTCTGAGCTGTCAGCATAGAACCCGATGTGGGGCTCGAACTCATAAACTGAGATCATGACCTGAGCCGAAGTCGGACGCTTAACCGACTGAGCCCCTTAGGCGCCCCTCTTTTACTATTGTATATTGCATTTTTCTGCCCCCTCTCAGACTCTTCTGCTTAAAAGATGAGGGCACATGTCCTTCTTCTCACTGATTTCTTCAAAGTTAAAAGTGTTAACCCAGAGGTATCTGATTACAGCCCAGAAAGGTATTTTGTACATACCCGTAGCTATCCGGTATGAGGAAGCCCATTGAGGCAGCGGCAGGATAGGATCATTCCAGTTTGAGCGAGCTGCAGAGCTAAAGGGGTTTGGGTAGGACTAGGGATTCTTCATATTTTCTTAATAAGAGCTGAGCAGCTTCGGCCACAGGCTTCCGTGGGTCACCATGTTTCCTGGGTTCTGGGCAGGAGTTCATGTGCATGTGACCCCTGCCCTGAGTGAGCCTTTTTCACTGTTGCTAAGGAGCGACTGTTCAGAGAAACGTGATAGAGCATCACTGAGAAATGATTCAGCCCAGCCATGGAGGGTAGTGTCCATGTGCCAGTGGGCCTGTGCCTGACTCGTGGGGAACTTCCACACCCCACCCCACAACAGGAGCAAGGAAATCAGAGGTTCAGAAAAGACACGTTTGTATGAAGAAACATTCAAAGATACAAGAAACTAATACAAATTACCTATGGAAGTGGTAAACCGAGGAGGAGCAGGGTGGAATGGAAACAAGATTTGTTTCTATATGTCGTTTTTTTTTTCTTTAATGTTTGTTTATTTTTTGGGAGAGAGCACACAAGAGTGGGGGCGGCGCAGAGAGGCAGGTACAGAGGATCCCAAGTGGGCTTCCTGCTAACAGCAGAGAACCCTAAGAGGGTCAAACTTGTGAACCACGAGATCATGACCTGAGCCAAAGTTGGACACTTAACGGACTGAGCCATCCAAGTGCCCCTCTATATATCTTCTCAGAGGATTTTGATTTCTCTTTTTTTTTTTTTTTTCTTTGAGAGAGAGGGGCATGAACCATGAGATCATGACCTGAGCCACAGTCAGATGCTTAACCACTGAGCCACCTAGGCGTCCTGACTTTTCAATTGTATATTATCTAGTCAAAAACATAGGCATACTTAAAAAAATTTTTTTAATGCTTATTTATTTTTGAGAGAGAGAGAGAGACAAAGCACAAGTGGGGGAGAGGCAGAGAGAGGGAGACACAGAATCTGAAGCAGGCTCCAGGCTCTGAGCTGTCAGCACAGAGCCGGATGTGGGGCTCAAACACACGAACCATGAGATCATGACCCGACCCGAAGTCGGACGCTCAACTGAGCCACCCAGGCGTCCCAAACTTTTAAGTTTTTAAATTCAAGTTAATTAACATACAGTGTTAAATAGTTTCAGATGTATAATACAATGACTCGACAGTTCTATACAGTATTCTGTGTGCTCATCATGACAAATGCGCTCCTTTATCCCCATCACCTATTTAACCCATCCTCCCACTCCCTTTCATCTGGTAACTATCGGTTTGTTCTCTGTAATTAAGAATCAGTTTCTTGATTTGTCTCTCTTTGTTTTCCCCTTTGTTCATTTGTTTCTTAAATTCCACATAGGTGTGAAATCGTATGGTATTTGTCTTTCTCTGTCTTATTTTGCTTAGCATAATACACTCTAGTTCCATCCACATCATTGACACTTGGGCTGCTTCCATATCCTGGCAATTGTCAATAATGCTGCAATAAATGTAGGGGTGCATGTATCCTTTTGAATTCGTATTTTTGTACTCTTTGGAAAAATACGTAGTAGTGTAGTTGCTGGGTCTAAGGTAGTTCTATTTTTAACTTTTTGAGGAACCTAGACACTGTTTTCCAGAGTGGCTGCACCAGTTTGCATTCCCACCAGCAGTGCATGAGGGTTCCTCTTTCTCCACATCTTCACCAACACCTGCTGTTTCTTGTGTTATTAATTATAGCCATTCTGACAGGCAGAAGTGGTATTTCATCATGGTGGTTTGTTTTAATGTTTTTTTATTTTTTATTTTAATAAAAAATTTTTTTAACATTTACTTATTTTTGAGACAGAGAGAGAGCATGAACAGGGGAGGGTCAGAGAAAGAGGGAGACACAGAATCTGAAACAGGCTCCAGGCTCTGAGCTGTCAGCACAGAGCCCTATGCGGGGCTCGAACCCATGGACCGCGAGATCATGACCTGAGCCGAAGTCGGATGCTTAATCCACTGAGCCACCAGGCGCCCCATAATGTTTCTTTTTTTGAGAGAGACACAGAGTGTGATCAGGGGAAGGGCAGAGAGTGACAGAGACACAGATTCAAAGGCAGGCTCCAGGCTCCGAGCTCTCAGCACAGAGCGTGATGTGGGGCTCAAACCCACAGACCACGAGATCATGACCTGAGTTGAAATCAGATGCTTAACCGACTGAGCCACCCAGGCTCCCTCATCATGGTTTTGATTTGTATTTCCCTGATGATGAGTGGTGTTGAGCATCTTTTCATGTGTCTGTTTGCCATCTGTATGTCTTCTTTGGAGAAGTGTCTGTTCATGTTTTCTGCCCATTAAAAAAAATTTTTTTTTAATGTTTATCTTTTGAGAGAGACAGACAGAGCATGAGCAGGGGAGGGGCAGAGGGGAATGGAGACACAGAATCCGAAGAAGGATCCAGCCTCTGAGTTGTCAGCACAGAGCCAGACGTGGGGCTTGAACTCACAAACTGAGAGATCATGACCTGAGCTGAAGTTGGAGGCGTAACCTACTGAGCCACCCACGCGCCCCTCTGCCCATTTTTTAATTGGATTATTTGTTTTTTGGATGTTGAGTTTAAGTTCTTTATATACTTAGGATACTAACCCTTTATCTGATATGTCATTTGGAAATATCTTCTCCCATTCCATCGGCTGCCTTTTAGTTTTGCTGATTGTTTCCTTTGCTGTGCAGAAGCTTTTTATTTTGATGAGGTCCCAGTAGTTCTATAGGAACTATAAGCCCCTATAGTTTTGCCTTTGTTTCCCTTGCCTCCGGAGACATACCTAGGAAGAAATTGCTATGGCTGATATCAAAGAGGTTACTGCTTATTTTCTTTACTAGGATTTTAACCATTTCCTGTCTCACATTGAGGTCTTTAATCCATTTTGAATTTATTCTGGTGTATGGTGTCAGAAAGTGGTCCAGTTTCTTTCTTTCTTTTTTTTTTTTTTTTTTTTTGCATGTTGCTGTGCAGTTTTCCCAAGCATTTGTTGAAGAAACATTCTTTTTTCCACTGAATATTTTTTCCTGCTTTGTTGAAGATTAATTGATCATATAGTTGTGGGTTCATTTCTGGGATTTCTATTCTGCTCCATGGATCTATGTGTCTGCTTTCTTGATCACTACAGCTTTGTAATATAACTTGAAGTCCAGAATTGTGATGCTTCCAGCTTTGCTTTGCTTTTCAAGATTGCTTTGGCTATTCGGGGTCTTTTGTGGATCCACACAAATTTTAGGATTGTTTATACTAGTTCTGTGAACAATGATATTGGTATTTTGGTAGGGATTGCATTAAATATGAAGATTGCTTTGAGTAAGTAGACATTTTAAAAATATTTATTCTTCCAATCCATGAGCATGAAATATCTTTCTATTTCTTTGTGATACATAAACACATTTTTGAAGTTTATTTTAAGTAATCTATACAACCAATATGGGACTCGAACTCACAACCTGAAGATCAGGAGTCCCATGCTCTTCTGACTGAGCCAGCCAGATGCCCTGCATAGACAGATTTTTAAGTAAAATTTTCAGAATAGTTTCTGTGCACTCTGGACATTTAGAGTTACAGAAAGATTATGAAGATAGTACAGAGAGTCCCCATATACTTCATGCTTAACTGACTGACACTCAAATGACTGAGCCACCCAGGTGCCTCAATGACCTTGACAGCTTTGAGGAGTTTTTTGGTAGAATGCCACTCAGTTGGGAATTGACTGATTTTTTCTCATTACTATACTGAGGTTATAGGTTTGGGGGAGGATGACCCCAGAGGTTAAGTGCCATTCTCATCTCATCAAGGGTACACATCATCAGTTTATTACTGTTGAGACGTAAAACAATTTGTAAAGTGGAAAGAGGCAGAGAAGAGATAATTTGTGTAGTTTAAGTTTGCAGCAAAAGTTTCATCAAGTTTTCTTCCCAGAAGATAAGAGAGGGCACCACGCTGTCCACACATGAGTCTGAAGGAGCCCCATTCTTTGGAGAGGGGAGGGGTCCGTTCTGTCACACTTGCACGGGATACGAAGCATCCCTGTTGCTAAGGTGCTGTCACAGCAACATCAGCGGCAGCAGCGGTGGTGGTAGCAACGGCCAGAGCTTTTATCCCCATGTTTCTCTTCCAGCCAAGTAGTGTGGACTTCTGTGTGAGTGGTAAAAACCCAGCTGTCAGTGAGGCTGCTGTCACTTTTCCAAACTTGTTATCAGTTGAAGTTCTGGTTCTTTTCCCTTCTGTATTTGTATAGTCCTTCATCTGCTCCACTATCTACAAATCTCTTCAATTCCTGTCTTGTTTCCCGACTTAATTAAACAAGTGAAAAGTCTTTTTAAGTAGGAACTAAGTATTATTTTGTAGTCACTTATATTCCAGATTCTGTGCTGTAGATACCATTATAAAGGGTAATTTTTTTTTTAATTTTTTTTTTCAACGTTTATTTATTTTTGGGACAGAGAGAGACAGAGCATGAACGGGGGAGGGGCAGAGAGAGAGGGAGACACAGAATCGGAAACAGGCTCCAGGTTCCGAGCCATCAGCCCAGAGACTGACGCGGGGCTCGAACTCACGGACCGCGAGAGCGTGACCTGGCTGAAGTCGGACGCTTATCCGACTGCACCACCCAGGCGCCCCTTTAAAGGGTAATTTTTAAATAGACGTTTGAGTCAGGTGTTCGTTCTAATAGTTTTGTGATATGTTACTTTACAGACATTTGATTGGTGTGTCCTGGGTTTGTTAAGCACGTTTGAGGCTTCTAGTTAAGTCTGTGTCACATCCTATTGCTTTAGCAACAAGGAATAAATTACACTGAAACCTCTATGTGTTATTGTTTCAGAAGTCCAGGCCAGAGGCACGAATAAGGTGTCTATTCTGAAGGGAAGAATTCTGTAAGGATGGACCCACACCAGCAGGTTGCCAGCTTACGGAATGGGAGTACATTACAGGTTTCTGAGCGCGAGAAAACCTCTCAGTACGTGAACCAGGTTCAAAGGCGGGAGGACAGGCCCACGGAAGGGAGACGGTATGCCTGTAGTGAATGCGGGAAGAAGTTTGCCCAGAGCTCAGGCCTCGTTCGACATCGGAGAATCCACACTGGCGAGAAGCCCTACGAGTGTGGTCACTGCGGAAAAGCCTTCAGCGTGCGCTCCACCCTCACTGTGCATGAGAGAATCCACACTGGCGAGAAGCCCTATACCTGTAATGAGTGTAGGAAAGGCTTCAGTGTGAGGGCACACCTGATCATACATCAGAGAATCCACAATGGGGAGAAACCGTATGAATGTAATGAGTGTGGCAAAGCATTTAGTGTGAGCTCAGACCTTATCAAACATCAGAGAATCCACTCTGGTGAAAAGCCCTATGAGTGTGATGAGTGTGGGAAAGCCTTCAGCGTGAGCTCCGCCCTCATCAAACATCAGAGAATCCACACAGGAGAGAAGCCGTACGAGTGCAAGGAGTGTGGGAAGGCCTTCTATGTGAACTCTGCCCTAATTAACCACCAGAGGATTCACTCTGGAGAAAAGCCGTACGCGTGTGGAGAATGCAGGAAAGCCTTCAGCCAGATCTCAACCCTAATTCATCACCAGAGAATCCATACTGGAGAGAAACCGTACGAGTGTGACGCGTGTGGGAAAGCTTTCCGTGGGAGTTCTAATCTTACTAAGCACCAGAAAATACACGCCAAAGGAAAGTGTCATCATTGATTTATGTGGCGAAGATATTCCAAAGGCCTTTTTTTTTTGTATCAGGAGTTAACACTAAGAGAAGGGCATGGAAGAAGTTGATGTTTTAATTGATACCTGGTCCTTTAGAATATTGAAGAAGTGAGAAGTCCGTGAAAAGTGCTCCAGAATGACTAGTTAAAGCTCTGAAATCACGTCGACTTCTGAGAATGCGCTTTCACAACTCACAAGGTAAGGCCCTTTAAATACATGTATACCGTAATGTAGTTTGTTTTGGTTTAGTAAGAGCAGATTTCAGTATTTCAAATATTTTTATTTTCCTCATGTGCAAACCTTCTGTTGTTGTTGTCGTTGTTGTATTGTAGGTAAAACCTGTTAAGTTTGAAATTGGAAGTAGTGTTGATTGGTGGAACAGGAACCACATATCCTCATTGTATCTGGAAATAGGAACTGATTGGTCTTCCTTTCTGTACCTCCATGCTCTCAGGGGTGATTCGATGGGTTAGTAACCTCCTTGGCAGAGGGTAGACTGCCTTTGTTTTGGGTAGAAATCTAATAGATACTTTGTCAGGGTCATTCTTGCTTAGTCGGCAAAACCCCAGGACTCTTGACTTCCTGAGCCAGTAAATCCCTAAACTTGACTGAGCTTCCTGAACCAAAACAAACAAAAACAAAAAGCCTCTCTAAAAGTGTCAGGTGCTCCGATCCCTTGGATTTGGTGTTTCTCAAGTGTCGTGAGGGATTTGCAGACTCAAGAGGTATGAGACTGGGCAAGCTTGGGAACTGTTGTTGAGTTGAGGATGGCATTGGTTTTAGGATGACTTTCAAGGATCTATTTGAGTGACTCCTTGAAGTTCGATGCCTCATATCGACCGGGAGAGCTCAGATTTGGGAAGTGGTACAAAGTTAATGAGTTCAGTCTGGAAAATGTCTTTGTCATATCTGGAAATCCCAGTAGAACTGTTCATCAGAATGTACCCTAACTTTCTAATCCCGTCCCCAGACCTACACCCAAAAGTTACACATGCGTGTATGAAGCTCATGGAAGAGATCTGGACTTAAAAATTACTTTGTTACTATTTTTCTATATTAATAGTGATTTCTGACCCCTGGGTGGCAGGCCAGGAAATTCTTGTGAACCCTGAAACTAAACCACACGAGGTTCAAGATGAACACCAAAGTGATAGAAATTGCAGATTGATTTGGTCTGCAGTAGGACTCTGGGTTGTAAAGAGATACATAGTTTCCATGATTTCTCATGAGCATCTGAGGCAAGACAGCCCACAGACACACTGGACTCCATGAAGCTTTGAGCCGACTTGTGCGGTCAGGCACTGAGGTCAGGGTTGCGTGTGGAAACACACAGCGTGAAGTCTGGTATTGAAGGCGTGCTTACCACTCTGCCCAGGTAAGTTTCAGTATGGACGTGGGGGCTGAAGGCAGAAAAGGTCCCGGTTTTGGAGCCCACACTGAGGAGACAGAACCTCACCGAGGCATGGGGTGTGCTGGAGAGAGTAAGGCACATACTTACAGGCAGGAATGAAGTGCCTCAACAAAACACCAGGAAATTGTCTACGACATTGGGTCGAGGTGTGAATTCCTTTGTCCTGCTTCTTTCTGCCTTTTGACAGTTGAGGAAGACTGGTTTCTCCTTGCTCTGTCCCAGAGAAAGTTCCCTGCCATGCCATTTCTGTTCTGTTATCGTCAGTGTTTTTAGCATTGACTTCTTTGGCCCCAACTGTCTCGGTTTGTCCCTAGGATGGAGGTTTGCAGACAGACTCTTCTGGGTGGAGAATACTCTTCTGAGATCAGCACTGAAGTGATGCCATACCCCACCCCAAACCAGCGCAACTGAATCCTAAGCAGTAAGTGGTGCGTGTCTTGAAGACTTTGAAGGGGGCAGACATTCTGGAGAAACACATTTCTTCTGCTGAAGAATGTAGTGGTAGGAGGGCAGGATCCATGTAACATGGTTATTCCTTGTGAGCTCAAAGTACAGTGTTGATGGTCACCTGCTGTGGGTTGGGCCTTGTGCCAGGTCTAGGAATACAAAGGTAACTGGAAAAAGCACCCCAGTCTTCAGGGGCCTCCCAGTCTACTTGGGGAGAAAGGTGCAGAGAGAAAACAGTAAATACAGCGAGAAAGCCACTGGGTTTGTACAGGCTACTTTGCACCGAAGGTGTAAGAACCACTCGTGGAACCATTGAAAAGGCGTCAGGAGGGTGAAATCTTAGAGGAAGAGTGAGTTCTTCGGCCCCAGGAAAAGGGATAAAGGAAGGGACTTTGGGAAAAGCATGTTTAAAAGTATGTGTCTGGGGGCACCTGGGTGGCCCAGTCGGTTAAGCGTCTGACTCCTGATACCGGCTCAGGTTGTGATCTTGTGGTCGTGAGTTCGAGCCCCGCATGTGACAGTGTGGAGCCTGCTTGAGATTCTCTCTCTCCCTCTCTCTCTCTCTCTGCCCCTCCCCTGCCCCCCCCACCACCGTCTGTCTCTCAAAATAAATAAACTTAAAAATTTTTTACTTCATTGTAGTTAACGTACAGTGTTACATTCGTTTCAGGTGTACAGTGTAGTGACTCGGCTGAAACTGATTTTTGTGTATGAGTGAGGGTCAGATTTCATTCTTTTCCCATATGGATATCCAGCTGATCCTGCATTACTTACAGGAAAGACTGTCTTTTCCCACTGCTGTACAAGGCTTATTTGCATATATCAATTGTCCTATATGCATAGGTCTGTTTCTGGTTCCTCTGTTACGTTCCATTGGTTTATTCGTATTTCCTTGGGTCGGTACCACATTTTCCTAATGATTGTAACTTTACATTACATTTAGGTATTCTGTGGAGCAGATCGTCTTACCCGAGGAGTCCAGCTTGTTTGCCCCTCGTGGGGCAGAGCCGCCCTCCCACACTGGACTCCCAGGCACAGCCACCGTGTGCAGTCTCTGTGTTGCCGTCAAGGATGGCAGGGCTTGTAGGCATCCTCGTGCTGCAGGCCACACCTCCACCTGGAGGCCTGGTATTGGGGACCTTGCCCAAGCAACTCTGCCAAGACTCTCTCGCTGGGGTAGAGGAAACTTGAGCACACTTTTCCCCACTCTAACTCTGTATTCCGTACTTTTCCACTCCCGGCTCTCCCCCGGCCCCCAGGAGTGCTCTCTTGGCAGTGAGACAGTCCCCACAGCCGTGCTGATTGTCCTGCCCCTTGCCTGACGCTGTCAGATGAGTAAGAATGGAACACTGCAGGCGCCAGCACTTTCTCGTGTTGAGCGTCTTGTTAATGCCGTAGCAGGGATTCAAGGCTTAGCTGTTACTTTTTTTTTTTTTTTTTAATGTTTATTTGTTAATTTTGAGAGAGAACACAGGAGGGGCAGGGAGAGGGAGAGAGAGAAAGAATCCCAAGCAGGCTCCTGTCTCTCAGCACGGAACCCGATGCGGGGCTCGAACCTATGGACCCTGAGATCGTGACCTGAGCCAAAACCAAGAGTTGGACGCTCAGCTGGCTGAGCCACCCAGGTGCACCTCTGACTTTCATTTTGTCTGTGTTAACTGACCACCAACACCTGGCAGCTGGTGCACGAAATGGTATGAGAGTGTACAAGTTGACTTAGTGTAATTATCAACTAGACTTTTGTTATGTAACCAGCACCTCCCCCCACCCCCAGCTACCACCCCAAATCTGTTGCTCACGGTACAGCACTTAGTCTTGCTTATGTTGTATGTCAGCTGTGGCTCACTTGCAGATCTGCAACACGTTCTCTCCACTCCAGGACCCAGGCTTGAGAAGTAAAAGAAAAACGGTGGCGGGAACACACAGTGGCTTTTACAGGAGAGCATATATCATTTGCATTTATGTTTCATTAGCCAAAGCAGGTCAAATAGCCACGCTTAACGATAGGGTGGGGGAAAATAATCCTTACAAAGATGGCAATGAGGAACCAAAAAAAATTGATAAAATCTACCATCGAGAGGGCCAATGTTTATGGAATGCTTTCTATGTCGGGGCTTTTTCTAAGTGCCTTATGTGTGTATTTGTCAATAACAAACAGTGGTATGAGATACATACCACTACCATTTTACAGCTGCAGAAGTTGGGGAGCAGAGACATTAAATAACTTGGTCATTTGGCCAGGAAATGGTCAAGCCGGGGATTGAAACCAGGAGTGTAAGGTGACGACCTGTTCTCTTAACTACTAAGCTGTAACGTGAAAGTTTCAACATGAAGGTTGTTCTTATGCCGTCGTGGGCCTCAAGGAGCCAGTGTGTTATGCTGGTAAAAACTTTCAAGGTGAGATTCGAGAGCCCTTGGTTCCAATCTGTTTTTACCTCTAAGTAACCATATTAGGCTAGACTAATGCCACCTAGCTGAGCCTCAGTTTCTATATCCTTAAAAATAAAGGAGACATGTCAAATATTTTGACATCCCTTCCAGCTTTGAGATTTTTGTAATCTCTCCAGATAGATAGTAAAATGCTTTGCTGATGGGATGGCCTCTTTAGTCTGCTCCTTTATATGTGGTTACGTTCACAGGCGACTTGAAGTGTTACGTCTCCTCCCTAGTCCCTTCCTTCTGTTTTACTTCTATTTTATGTTAGTGAGAATACTACTAGTAGTAGTAACTTCCACTTACTGGGACCTTCTCTGTTCCAGGTACCTTTTCAAGCTCCTTTGGTAAATTATTTAATTTAAAAATATAGATGCTAGGGGCGCCTGGGTGGCTCAGTCCATTAAGCGTCCAACTTCAGCTCAGGTCATGATCTCGCGGTCCGTGAGTTCGAGCCCCGCGTCGGGCTCTGTGCTGACAGCTCAGATCCTGGAGCTTGTTTCAGATTCTGTGTCTCTGGCTCTCTCTGCCCCTCCCCTGCTCATGCTCTGTCTCTCTCTCTATCTCAAAAATAAATAAAAACATTAAAAAGATTTTTAAAATATATAGGTGCTATACTTAGAAGAGAAGAAAGGCTGAAAAAAGTGCTCTTAAACATCCATATTTGAGCACTTTTAAAAAAACACAGGAAAATAGCCCAAAGAAAGCAAAGGGAAAGAGCAGAAATTAATGAAAAACACGTGTACAGTCTTACTTAGGACTTTTGCATATGAAAAGCCCTATTCTGGGTGATTTCTCTCCTAGGCTGCTCTCATTTGTTACATTTGACTCCTTTTCCCCCTCTAAGGAAAGGGTGCCTATTTCATGATCAACCTGTTCTTTCAGAGGGTGACTCCTGGCCTTAGACAAGGAGTCTATCTCCCTGCAGAGTTTTGCGGAAGTCTAGCACAGAGGACTAAATGGGAACATTCCCCAGGGCCTCCACAAGTCCAGGGGCTTCTGAATAGGTCAGCCAAGTGAGGGAGGAGCCCCTTTGAGGAATCACAGCTTGCACTGCTTCAAGCCAAGGACAGTATCACTCTGATAAAGGGATAAGTCTCACTGATAAGTATCACTCTGGTAAAGACACTTGGGAGAACCTGCCCTGAATTTCACTTCTGTCAGTGCCCTGGGAGTGGGAAATTCTCCCTTCACCTTGCCCACAATTTCAGCTTCAGCTGTGATAAAAGCATCTGCTGCTCAGTCTAACGTGAGTGAGTGCTCCAGAAATGCCTCTCCCCGAGAAAACAAGCCCTGGAGCACCAGCAGTCCTGACTGAGCCCCAGCAGACTTGAGGAAACCCTATGAGGATTCTCAGCCCGGAAGGACCTTCAGTGTAAACCCAGGTCCCGTGGCACTGCACAGCAGAGAAGCCACCTAAAGAAGAGTCCCACGAGAGTAAAGAATGTGGCAAAGCCTGCGGATACTGGGAGGGTCTTGTCAGGCGTCAGAGGACCCGTGAGGATATCTTCAGTGCTGTAAATGTTCGTGTGAGCTCAGCTCTCATCAAACAGAAGCAAATTCATCTTGGACGCGAGTGCGTAGGTGGAAGGTCTTCATTTGGAAGCAGCGCTTCTTGCCAGAAAACCCATAAATGGAAAAATGTGGGAAGGCCTTCACTAAGATCAGTCTTCTCCATCAGTAAATACACCCTGGAGCAAAGCCCTATATGTGTGACTGCTCTGGGGACCTTTCAGCGTTAGCTCAGTTCTTACAGTGGATCAGAGATTCCTCTTTGAGTGTAAGTGATACGGGAAAGCCTTCAGTCAAAGTTCAAATCTTACCAAACATCAGTCTATACTGGAGAGAAGTCTTCTGCCTGGGGTGGGTATGAACTCCTTTCTTCAGACATCAAAGGATACACAACAAAAATAAACTTCAATTGTCAAATATATGGTAAAGGTATAGTACAGGACTTTTTCAACATCAAGCATCACAGTTAAGTAGGAAGAGCATGCAACTCTTGATCTCAGGGTCATGAGTTTGAGCCCCGTATTGGGCCTAGAGATTATTAAATAAATAAAAACTTTAAAAATCCAACTGCATACAATCATTTGACCATTTTATGGAATTAAGACAAGTGTTTATTAGAGACTTTGTCAGGTCACTTCATGGGGAAAAGTGAATTAAAACATCTGTGACAGATCTCTATGGGTATTTAACTTTCTTTGGCACAGTTAGCTTTCATTTTCTGTAGTAAAGGTAGAGAATGGGGGGAAAGTCTTTATTCACAACCTTTGATGATTGAAACATTATTACATTTATTTTTGGCTTGGAATTCATGATGCTAATTAAAATAGTTTTTCTAAGAATGATTTTGACATTAATTCCTTTGACGCATTTCTACCAGACTTACTCCCTTTTATTTTTAGAGTGTTAGTATCTGGGAAATGCTGCAGATATCTATGGTTTGGTAAATCGTTTCACAGAATTTCCTATGCCTTTGGGCAGAAAAAGTAGATGAAGACACATGGGTGGGCCATGTGAACTTATGATTTGCTAAACAACAGACCAAATTTACCATGTTCACTTTGTGTGTCTAATATATGGAAGGAATAGTGACCCATACGGAGAAGGCTTGAGCATGTGCTCAGTGAAGGGTTCTGCTTGTGGGTTGATAGCAAGTCAGCCTGAAGAGGGAGCTGTCACAGTTTGTCATTGGATCTCCCGCCTTCCCAGGCCTGTCCACAAATGAGAGTGGTTATTATTCAGTGTGGATTCGTTGTGAACTCACTTCATGGAATATCATAATCATTGGTCTGTGTGTGGCCATTTGTTTTTATACATTTCATTTTGTCTCTACCCCCCCATCCCAGTCCCATTTCTCCCAGTTCCTTCCAGTCACCCGTAAATCGTTGTGTTCTATCTCATTCTATGCCCTTCTGCTTTTTGAAGCCAATGAATTATGAATAACAATTCACTAGGCAGGTTGAATCCTCTGCTGTGAGGTGGTTACTTAAGTCATTTGCTCTAATGACTAAGTGAAAGCCATTTAGGGTGTTCACCAGCTTTGCTCTGAACACCTTTGGGAGTGTTTTTCTGAGGAGCATACACAGGAATGAAACTGCTGGCCCACAGGTTATGCACAGTGTAAATTGCACTAGCACGTACTTGTTCTTTTTCCGTGTGAACTAACAGATCTATCTGGTATCTTAACCTGATGGTGATGTCACCTGTCCCACATGGGTTTTGGGAGCTGCAGACTTCCAAACAATGCAGGTACTTTCTCATCTGGTGGCGCCGTGGGGTGAGGCAGATCTCCAAGACAGAAATAAAGAAACCTCAACTTCAAAAATAATGCCTGACTTCTCCGGGTCTGGTGATGCGAACTGATACTGCTACTTAAAATGCAGTGTGATCCTAAAAGCTACATACCAGACCATGCTGTGTGTAAAGGGGAAACAAAATACTTTTCTAAGAACATCCCAGAAAGGGAGTGTAGCAGGTGCAAAGGTGCTGACATACTGGAGAAATAGCACGGCCGGTGAGACAACAAGAAGAGAGGAGGACACAGGTGAAGGGGGATGGCCTATAGAAATGACCTTTGGGTTTTACCCTGAGTGAAATGGAAAGCTTATGGCTGGATTTTAAGCAAAGATGTGGCGTAATCGGTCTGAGGCTTTGAAAGGATTCCTCTAGCTGCCTTGTGAAGCATATAAAGGGACAGGAGTGGGAGCTAAGAGAACAGTTAGGAACCAATGAGGTAATCTAGGCAGGAACTTACAGTGCCTTGGACACAGGTGCTCAGCAGAGGTGGTGAGAAGTGATGGATCCTGGTTACACATTGAAGACCATGCCACAAGGATTTTGCTCATGGATAAGATCGAAAGAAGAGGCAAGAATCACCCAAGTGTTTTGGCGTGGAAGAACAGAGCGACCTTAACAGAGATGAGAGGATGCGGCTGGAACAGTTATTTTTGAACAAGTGAATGTGGGATATAAGTTAGTGCCTCCCAGAAGTTTTGCTGTTTGAGAAAAAAGGAACATTCTCGGCACAGTCTGCCTGTCAGCCCAGAGCATTCTTCAGCCACACCGGGCTGAGTCCCAGATGAAAGACTTTTCTTACAGGCACTTCCCTCTTCCTCCACCCAACTGCTCCTGAAGACGGGGGACTTACGAAAGCAGTATTTTCTCAGCCACATTGTAGAAAGGACATAGATGTAAATTGCTGAGGGACATCCTGGAGTTGTCTCATTTAAATTTACAGAATGAGATCAACTGCCTGCCTCTGAGAGTTACAGCAGGTCAGTTCTAACCTCCGAGTCCATAGTTTCTTGGGAAATATTACCTGTGGTATATTCTTCCTTTTGAAGAGTAATCAAATTAGTGATATGTAAATGTTCTCTTAGGTTAGAATGTTAAAATAGGAGTGGAACGGAAATCACTTAATAGCCATTCAGACTGCAAGAACATGCACCCAGAATTCTGCTTGGGGTAATGGTGGACAGAATCCTATGGACCAGTTCTCCCACTGAGAAGTGGGGACGCTGGGCAAAATGCTTTTAAAAAAATCTATCCAAACACATTAAAGAGCTAATTTGAGAATAAAAGATTAGAGTGAAAGAGTATGTATATTTAAGGAGATGATCCTTTCTTTGGGCATCTTCTGATTCTGGAAAGGGTACCTGAGAGGGTGAGTCAAACTCTTGATAGGGTCACAGAAAAAAAAGTCACCAAAGTTAGATTCTGGAGACTGCCAACGTAGGAGGTAGTGCAGGTAAATGCCCTCACTCTGGTGTGTGGGACCCCAAAGACTGTCCTCTAAAAGTACACGAACCACACATAGGCTCTCACAGGGGCCACTGCTCTGCTTTGAATCCTAATCTCTACAGTGGATTTAAGTGATTCCATAATGCCAGTGCCCACAGGTACTGGGAGGTCGTCTCTATAAGAATGTAATATTCTCTTAGGTCTGAAACTATTTCTGTAAGCAATTTTGCAAAAACAAATTTTAAAAATTAGGAACATGAGAAGACAAATGACACAAAATCCAAGAAAAGCAATTGATAGTAGAAACACATCTGGGAGGGACACCTGGGTGGCTCAGTTGGTTAAGCCTCTGACTGTCGATTTTGGCTCAGGTCACAATCTCCTGGTTCATGAGTTTGAGCCCCACATTGGGCTCTGTGCCTGCTCGGGATTCTCCTGTCTCTGCTCCACCCTAACCCTCTCAAAAATCAATTTTTAAAACGCTTAAAATTTTAAGTTAAAATGGATCAAAGATGTAAAGGTGAGAGCTAAAACTTTAAAACATTTAGAAGAAATCTGGTGTAAATATGACCTTGGATTAAGGCAGTGATTTCTTCAGTAACACCAAAAACTCAAGAAACAAAATTAAAAAGAGAAATTGGACTTCATCAAATTATAAACCTTTTTTGCTTCAAGGAACACTATCAACAAAGTGAAAAGACCTCCCATGGAACAGAAGAAAATATTGGCAAGTCATATACCCGATAAGGGTCTAGTACCCAGGATACATAAAGAACGCTTACAACTCAGCAACAAAAAGACTGACAACCCAATTTAAAAATGGCCAAAGGCTTTGAATAGATATTTCTTCCAAGAAGATATGCAAATGGACAATAAGTCCATGAAAAGATGCACGTCATTCTACATTAGGAAAATTCAAATCAAAGCCATGAGATACCACTTCACACCCAGTAAGGTAGCTATAATAAAGATAGGAACAGGTGTTCACAGGGATGTAGAGAAATTAGAACCCTCCTGCATTGCTGGTGAAAATATAAAATGGTGTAGCCACCTTGGAAAATCGTTTAGAAGTTCCTCAGAAAGTTAAACATAGAGTTACCATATAACCCAGCAATTCCCCTCCTAGTTATATATTTTTTAAAAATTTGAAAACAGGTGTTCAAATAAAAACTGTACATATGGGGGCGCCTGGGTGGCTCAGTCCATTAAGTGTCTGACTTCAGCTCAGGTCATGATTTCACAGTCTGTGAGTTCGAGCCCCGAGTCGGGCTCTGTGCTGACAGCTCAGAGCCTGGAGCCTGCTTCAGATTCTGTGTCTCCCTCTCTCTCTGCCCCTCCCCTGCTTATGCTCTGTCTCTCTCTGCCTCAAAAATAAATAAAAACATTAAAAAAAAACTGTACATATGGGAATGCAAGTTGGTGCAGCCACTCTGGAAAACAGTATGGAGGTTCCTCAAAAAACTAAAAATAGAACTACCCTATGACCCAGCCATTGCACTACTAGGTATTTACCCATGGGATATAGGTGTGCTGTTTCAAAGGAGCACATGCACCCCAATGTTTATAGCACCAGTATCAACAATAGTCAAAGTATGGAAAGAGCCCAAATGTCCATCGATGGATGAATGGATAAAGAAGATGTGGTATATATACACAATGGGGTATTACTCGGCAATCAAAAAGAATGAAGTCTTGCCATTTGCAACTACGTGGATGGAACTGGAGTGTATTATGCTAAGTGAAATTAGTCAGAGAAAGACAAAAATCGTATGACTTCACTCATATGAGGACTTTAAGAGACAAAACAGATGACCATAAGGGAAGGGAAACAAAAATAATATAAAAACAGGGAGGGGGGCAAAACAGACGAGACTCATAAATATGGAGAACAAACTGAAGGTTACTGGAGGGGTTGTGGGAGGGGGGATGGGCTAAATGGGTAAGGGGCACTAAGGAATCTCCTGAAATCATTGTTGTACTATATGCTAACTAATTTGGATGTAAATTAAAAAAAATAAAAAATAAACTGTACATAAATGTTCACAGTAGAACTATTCATAATAACCAAAAAGTAGAAACAATCCATTTCTGTTGATTAATAAATGAATAAACAATTGTGCTATCATCATACAATGGTACATTATTCAACCATAACAAGGAATGAAGTATTTATACATGCTGTAACATGGATGAACCTTGAAAACATTACACTAAATGAAGGAAGACAAAAAAAGGCCACATAGTGTATAATTCTATTTTACAAAATGTCCCAAATAGGAAAATCCACAGAGACAGAAAGTAGATTCATGGTGAGAGGTATGGGAAGTGACTGGTAATGTAAACAGAGATGGAAACTTTAAAAATTAATGAAAAGGAAATAATAATAAAAAACACCATAACAAATGAAGAATGCTTTGAAGGACTCATCAATAGACTGGACAATCATTAGACACTACTAATGGTGTGGATTTATTTTGGGGTGATGAAAATGTTCTAGAATTAGATAGTGATGATGGTATCTCAAATTTGTAAATATACTAAAAATCACTGAATATTACACATTAAGAGGGTGAATTTTATGTCCTGTGAATTATGTCTC